ATCTGTTTTGTCTGCTGTCATGTGTCTGTTTTGTCTGCTGTCTGTCATGCGTCTGTTTTGTCTGCTGTCTGCCTGCCCCACCAGGCCGGGCTCAGAGCAGGGCCTTCCTGGGAGCCCAGTGCCTCCCGCGGGGCAGGGCCTGCACACAGTGCAGGAAACGTGACCGAGTGGACGAGAGAGAACATGGGAGCCGTGCCTGCCTCTGACAGCATCTGCATGTTGTTTGGGTTCTGGAAAGACATGCCAACATTTTCATGCAAAATTCTTTTGTACCAATAATTTCACTTGTACTTTTGCCTGAAGCCCAGTTGGTGTAAATAGTTTTTTATATAATAAAACTGGAGCCAAAAGTCTTGATTTGTTGTTGCGCTTGAACTTAATAAACTCTGTACACCAAAGGGGCTGCCACAGGGACCTTCACAAAGTTTTCACAAGGGAGGGGCTGGTGCCAGAGCCTGAGGCCCGAGATCCAGCGCCGGCCAATCAGTGATTCTCTCTCATCATATCTCTCCGTCTCCCTTCCTCTCTGAAACCAATAAAAATGTATTTTTTAAAAAGCTTGCCATTAAAATTATAGGGAAAATTTCAGACTGTAAGACTCTGTGGGCACGCTGTCCCTCCAGGGAGCACGTCCGCACTTTCCCTCCCCTCCCTCCCCAGGACGCGCATCTCCTGACCTCAAGGGGCCGCAGGAGACTTGCAGCCAGGGGAGCAGTGGGCAGCTCCTCCCAGGGCCCCCTTTTCTCTGACTTCCCCGGGAGCCAGGGCAGCCGGGCTCTCCTGTTGCTGCTTCTGTTCGAGGTCCTTCCTTGTTTCTCTGCCCTCAGCTTTCATAAACGTCCTCCAAAAACAAAAACAACCAAGAGACGCCGTGACTGCCCAGTCCCCGGTCAGGGCGCAGGCCCGGGCGGCAGGGCCAGTTCTCTCGTCATTGATGTTCTGTCTCTCGCTCTTCCCTCTCTCTAAAATCAGTAAAAACATTTTTTTAATTAAAATTAAAAAGTGATCATATTGCTCTTTGCAGCAGCACCTTTGACTCTCCGGCTTGGTGATAGTGTCCTGTCTCAATCAGGAGTCTCTCTCTTGAGCCTGCGCCAGCTGTGTGGCAGGCCAGTCTGGGGCGAATCTGTAGAGAATTGGGAAAGTGGACGTCCCCGTGCGAGCCCGCGGGGCTGAGTCTGCCATGGCGGCTTGTTGTTCACAGCGGAAGACCTTTGTGGAGCAGAGAGCCGACTTCACGGTCCCCAGCCTGAAGCCGCGGACGGTGTACTGCGCGATCGCCCAGGCGCTGCTGGAGGACGGGCCGAGGAGCCAGCCCAGCAACACCGCATGCGCCACGACAGAAGCAGGTGCGCAGCTCCCGGCGTGTCTTAAAAAGGCGACTTCAGCCCTGGCCAGCGTGGCTCAGCGGATAGAGCGTCGGCCTGCGGGCCACAGGGTTCTGGGTTCGATTCCGGTCCAGGGCACGGACCCCGGTGGCAGGCTCCTCCCCTCTTAAAAAGGCTTCAGCCCTGGCCAGCGTGGCTCAGCGGATAGAGCGTCGGCCTGCGGGCCACAGGGTTCTGGGTTCGATTCCGGTCCAGCAGG